AAATGAAGTAACAATTAAGTAACCATTGTATTAAGTGAAACTTAACTATTATTAAACTGAACAACCTGTAAGTGCTATGTTGTTTCAGGACAACACAGACTTGTTTTCTAATTAAACTCCATAATCTTAAAGCAAATGGGAGTACTTGAATTTATAGATACAATGCTCTCCTGGTCTTATCTTTTCTAGCTTTGCTTTATCACTTTTAAGCAGGGACATCTACAAATGTGTATCAGAATTAAGACACCATTGAAATTAGTATCTGTTTGTCTTTTGTGTTTAGAAGGATTTTAATTGCAAAGGAACAAGTCTATACCAATAAAGAAACTTGATGGAAAGTCTTGCAAGCAAGAATGAGTGATGATGTTTTAAACCTATTCCATTTCTGAAATACTCTGTGGAAAAAAATAACTGAACTCTTTCTTGACTGATTTTCATTTTCAGATTTCAAAATAATGTGACAGTTTACACACGGATTTCAGTGTGCGTCTGCTATGAAATATTCTTAGATATTCTTTGAGCTTTGGGAAAATGACTCTTTACTCCTAGTAGGGGAACATTCAGAAGATTCTTTTTGTCTAGTTTTTAGTGGGTATGAAAGGCAAAGATGAAGCTATGGCTATTGGAGGACACTGGTCCCCATCACTCGATGGACCTGACCCAGAAAAGGACCCTTCCGTGCTGATAAAGACGGCTATTCGTTGTTGCAAGGCTCTTACAGGGATTGACTTAAGTGTGTGCACACAATGGTAAGTACTGTACTGCAAAGCAAAGTACGCTGTAGGGATACTTGTCTGTTACCAGCAGGTTTTTTTTAAAAAAAAACAAACAAAACAAAACATGGGAAAACATCATTTTCTTTGTCGGCTGCTCTTGGTAGTGCAGGTAAACTACTCAAAGGGTGTTCTGTTTTGTAATAAGCTTGATTGGTGCCAACTGTGCTGAATACTGCATTAAGAACTAATTAAAAATTCTGAATTTATTTTGACATGTTATACTGTAATTTTTTTTAATGAATGTGCATTGAAAATATTTTTCATTTTGTGCATAGCTGGAGAAGATCGTCAAGAGAACTTCATTTCATTGTTCTTTTGTTATAAATAAATAGCTGTTCGTTACATAGCCATATTTTCTCTTGATGACTTTTTGTCCTGTGTTAACACTCATTGCAATTTTACTAATACCAGGAAAGTCTGTTGTGTGCCAAATTTAAAGTGCTTCAACAACTTTTATTTGCACATTAAACCTTTGTGTGCTAAACAACAAGTTATAAAAAAACTTTTGTTGGTTTTCCTCCTTTTCAATTGTGATACCTTTTTGCAAATGTACCAGAAGAGAAAATATGGCTTCCATAATTTTTTTCTTTAGATAAACTTCAAGGTCTTGCAGCAAAGTTTCTTTACTTGATGTGCTACAAGTGATCTAGGCTCTTTAAAATGTATTGTAGAATTTTTTTTCCAACATGCTTCTTCCCTTGCAACAGGTACCGTTTTGCAGAGATTCGCTACCATCGCCCTGAGGAGACCCACAAGGGGCGTACAGTTCCAGCTCATGTGGAGACAGTGGTTTTATTTTTCCCGGATGTTTGGCATTGCCTTCCCACCCGCTCAGAGTGGGAAACCCTCTCCCGAGGATACAAGCAGCAGCTGGTCGAGAAGCTTCAGGGTGAACGCAAGGAGGCTGATGGAGAACAGGCACTGAACGCTAATCCCTTTTTCTATTTCTGCTTCTCACAGGCACAGGAACACAGGCACAAAATGCACACCACATACTACACAACATACATACATAGGAGGAACATAACTGGTAACAATGACTGGTAAACCAGCTTTCAGCAGTGTAGTGAATGTTGGTTTTTATTTTTATTACAGCTAGTTCACTAACTTTAAATGTGTATGCTGATACCACAAATGGAATTAAATTGTGCTTATGATGCGCAGAAAATTGTTTATCGTAGACATAGTTGCTGGAATCTGGGACCAGTTGTTGAGTGAGATGCAGTTTATGAATAGCTGTCTTTAAACATTTTGCCATTTTCTAAAATTTCTAAATTCTCTCTTGTGGCCCGTTCCAATTGTGATATTTGAAACTGAACAAACGCTAGTCTGAAACATCTGAATTTCAGGCCATGTGGCTGATCAACATCTTGGAATAAAGGAAGGTCTGACTGAACAAAGAGTAATTTGGGGGATTTAAAATCTGGGGGAAGATCACACACTGTGTGGTTAGTGGCGACCAGCAGTGTCTGTGTAACCCCGATATTCTTTGTGGTGTTGCTTATCACCCTTTTGTGTTCCACAGATCTGGCTTGTATTGGCTGAGTGGCACTGTGATCATTTATAAAGTGGTAGAATGTGTGTGTGAACGTGTCTAAATAATAACTTTAGGAGAAGACTATCTGAAACAGTTGTGACCTTGCACAGATCAGCAACAGAATTTAAAAAATAACTTAAATGCTTTCAAGCTTTCTGAATGATAATTTCTAAATTTTATTTGTCAGGACGAAGAGGAAAAGGATGATGGGGAAGCTAAAGAGATCTCTACTCCTACACACTGGTCTAAACTGGATCCAAAAACAATGAAGGTAACTAACACTCTTCTTTAAATTTTATTCTATTTTACATTTTCATTTTTAAGGCACAACACAAAATACAGCTGTATATTCTCTTAACTGAGCAAAAAAAAACTTCAGTAGTGTTTTATTTTCCTTGCTGATTTTATAGATGTTAGATGTCATACTGCAGTATGCAAGTGTAATTCCTGATTTTAATAAGTTAATACAGCTAACTGAAACTATTCTGAACTTTTGAACTTTGTACAATTAAAGTGTATCCCATATGATCAAAATGTATAATGTGATGCACTAACTGGAAAATGAAGTTTCTGCAGTAATCTGGTCATATCTAATTGCGTTTAAAAATGTGGGGTCTAAAATACTTTAATGTTAGTTTAAAAAGGCAATAATTATACAAAAATGTATGCCAGGAGACGTAATAAGAAGTTTCCTCAAAAGGTTTAATAGTAATAAACTGTTTGCTATAGTAGAATCGTTTCCTTGCCCCTGTGAAAAGTCCCTCAAAAATGGGTTCTTAGAGAACACAACTTTGTGTTGCATGTTTTATAGCAGTAAATATTAGTGTTTTTCAGTACAAATTTTAAAAATGACTGACTTTCAGTGCTCTTAATTTTTACTTCACCTTTTTTGTTAATCACGTTTGGTAATGTCACTGGTTGATACCACTTACAGAGCTTTTATTTACCAGGTAAATGACCTTCGCAAAGAATTAGAAAGTCGAACCCTTAGCTCTAAAGGACTGAAATCTCAGTTGATAGCTCGACTGACAAAGCAGCTGAAAGTAGAGGAACAAAAAGAAGAGCAAAAGGAGCTAGAGAAGTCTGAGAAAGAGGAGGAAGAGGAAGAGGATAGGAAATCTGAAGATGACAAAGAGGTTAGGCTTTGAACATACTTGGTTTAAGTCTTACTAAATATACATAAAATATTTTTATATATATATATATATATAATTTGTATAAATAAATACATATTTAAGTATAAAAAGTACAGGAATATGCCTAGTTGTGTTGGGATTTTGTAGTTCTCCGATTACTATACTGGGAACTCTTGCTGTAACTTGAGCTGCTGAGTTGGAACAAGATCTTGGCAAGTTTGAATTTCTTTACATCAGCATAGCCGGCCAAAATGGGCAACACCACTAAGGGTGTCTGAATTAATGTCAGACCTTAAATGTAAGGAAAAATAAATCACAAACTCCCCAGAAAAATCCATGATCGAGAACAGGGGAACACAATTAACAAGAACTTAACTTCTTAAACCTACATGAAAAGGAGCTGCTTAGCTGTACTGGGTTTTAGTGGTATACAGGTCTTGGGGAATTATTGTGGAAATTTGGGTATGGGCAGGTTCCAGTCTGTTGAAGGTTATAGTGTCTCAAACAGTCCAGTTTCTTTACATGGCTAATGGTGTGCTTAAGTTTTTTTTCTTTTATTATGAAGCTTTAATTTTTGCTTTTGGATAAACTTCCAGTGTAATGAAGTTTCTCGGTTTTGCTGTCGGTAGCTTCAGTACTCCATAGTCTGCTTGGCTGTTTTGGGAGGATAAACGAGATCTGTGCAATAAAGCCAAAGCTCAACCACAGAAAAGAGGCATGAGTGTCTGGAGAATGTATTCTGTGTTAGTTGCTCTTAAACCTGCCTTTTTGTGTATTACCTGCTAATCAATATGGGATGATTTGAAGTTTTATATACCTGTGTGAACCTTGTTGAGGGAGCAAAGGACATGTGCTTGCTAATTCTGTCAGCTGCTGCCTTCTCCTGCAGCTTGGATGGGCTTCAACAATCTTGGGGTTTCTTGCCACAGCTTCCTTTAAGATTAGTGGAGGGAGTTTTGATTGTGCTTGCTTTTTTAAGAAGCAAAAGCTCTGGTATGACTTTTTCTTCCATGGTCATAAGACTAATATTTCTCCTGGCAATCAGTAAGCTGCTTGGTATTTTACATTTTTTTAACCTTTTGTTTGATTTGCATCAGTTGTATCTATAGAAATTGCATTTCCCTTAATCAAAAGAGCAGAGTAAATTGTCACAAAGCTGTTTTGGGTGTCTTTAGAAAGATGACATATGAAGCCTTTACTCTTCCTATGTAAGGAATAAGCTTACTGTACTATACAGATCTAAAAACACCCCTAAACAAACAAAAGACCCCTCAGGAGCATTGACAACTAGCTTGAGTCCTTCCAGTGTCGAGTAAACGTGCTGCTGTTAGCACCATAAGATAGCTGGAGGGTGCATGTTGCTCAGTGGTCTAAACAACACTGCATGTCCTGCTTTGTGTTGCTGAAGTTTCCCGTCATCTTTGGCAAGTGTTGGCAGCGGACACGGTATGCATTCTGGAAATTCTGGTCTGTGACTTCTGTGTGTATTATGTGTTGCATTCAGCAGCTTAGGCTTTTTCCTTCACTTTCTTCAAAGCACCGAGTCCTAAAAACTAATATATAGACTGAAACTTCAGCTTTTCAATATACTGTATGTTATTTTTTTGCCTGTTTAGGAAGAGGAAAGAAAACGTCAAGAAGAAATGGAACGTCAGCGGCGTGAGAGACGATATATCTTACCTGATGAACCAGCGATCATTGTACATCCTAACTGGGCAGCAAAGAGTGGGAAGTTTGACTGTAGCATTATGTCTCTTAGTGTTCTTCTGGACTATAGATTAGAAGATAATAAAGAACATTCCTTTGAGGTAATTTAGCTGTGCTCCTTACAGTTAGCCATTCTTGTTTCTTTTAAATTCTGTGTGATAACTGGAGTATGCTTAAATTCTAAAAGTTTATGAAACACAAGTTAGTTTCTTTGTGCAATACCTAGAAAAAATTGTCCTGTCTTTGATACATGGTTTACAATAGCAGTATAGTCACTGTATGATATCCAGAAGAAATGCATGGGTTTATAATTTATATAGCTAGTCTAGGTCATAAACTACTGCAGTACAGGAAAGAAGCATTTTTATGAAGTTTTTTAAGTATTCAAAGTACATAGTAAGAAATCTGTCACTACATAAAATTCTGACATGGTGGAAGTTGGTAAGATCGCACCTCATAGCCATTTAATCATAAGTGTACAAATCATTAATATATATTTTAAAACTTTTTTCGTTCTTCTTTTTGTGCAGGTATCATTGTTTGCAGAACTCTTCAATGAAATGCTTCAGAGAGATTTTGGTGTCAGGATTTACAAAGCGCTGATTTCCCTCCCAGAGAGGGAGGACAAAAAAGACAAAAAAAGCAAAAAAGATGAGAGAAAAGAAAAAAAAGAAGAAAAAGATGATGAAACAGATGATCCAAAACCTAAGAGGAGAAAATCTGGAGATGATAAAGACAAAAAAGAAGATCGAGATGAAAAGAAGGTCTGCAGCTCATACTGTCCTGTCTGGATCAATATTAAACTGTTTCTATTTGAATTTTACTTTATTGCTTTCAAAACTCAGATCATTTAATCAACTCAATTGATTAGACTCGTTGATCTATTTAAATATGTTTCAATCATAGTAATTTAAAAATTCTACAGGTATATTGGGGGGCATTTTAACCTTCAGCTATATCACATAGATTTGTATTTCGGTTTTTTGAGTGACTAAATGTAAACATACACAAATTTTTAATTAATGGCAGTGAGGTTTTTCCTTTCCTCTTTTTTAGTTCTGACTGGATAATTTTTTAGGAACTTTTGTTACAGAGGGAAGATAAAAGGAAAGATGATTCTAAAGATGAAGAAGAAACTGAAGACGACAATAATCAAGAAGAATATGATCCGATGGAGGCAGAAGATGCCGAAGACGAAGATGAAGGTATATTGAATTATTAATTTTGTGGCTTTCAGAAATTTTTTTTGTTGCCTCAGAATATGTTCTTTCAAGCTGGAGAATGCACTGGAACTAGACAATATAAAATTGCATTATTAGACTTATTTTATTTTAGTAATTCTGACCAGATCTACTTAAAATGTAAGTGTGTTTCTGCTAGGCATTGTATGAACATAGTTATTATAAACTAGCTGTGGTACTCAAAGTAAGGCATGCATATAGAAGTGGTTTTATTTTTTTCAGAATGCAGACCACTCGCAACTCCCATTGAAGTCAGTAGGAGATGTGAGTATTCAGCACCTCTGAAAAACCAAGCCACTTTTAAGTGCCTGACTTCCTGTTCCTCAGTTCTGACATGTCATCCTGTTTTTATTAGGCTAGAATGTAGTGTGGGGTGCTCTTCACATGATGTTATGAGGAGTTGATTTGTGTTTGGGTGGAGTTCTGTTTGACTGAAGAGATGGAGAAAGATGCTGGGGAACTTTCCTGTCTCCAGGGAGCAGCAGTAGCCTTCTTTCCCTGCTTGGAGATTCAGAAAGGCATAGGTCATGGTGTATACTTTTTGGTTTGTACTTCTTTGGGGTTTTTGTCTTTGTGGAGAGTTTTTGCTAGAGATACAAGTTTAAACTGCTGAGATACAGCAGTCCCAGCATTTTCTAACCAGCATTTTCACTTGTATTATTGGCAGAGTGCTGCACCAGCCTTTAAAAATTAGTACTAATCTGTTTCCAAAATAACTATTATTTGCTCGTAATCTGACTGTGAGAGTGCCTTGGGCTTGTCTGTTCTGTACAAGTGCTGCTACTTCCCATAATCTGTCCTTGTGCCATTCCCAGTCAGAGTTGCTGAGACCAATCCAGCATGCCATGGAGGTGCAGGAGAAAGCTATTGGTTCTCAGAAACGTGTTGGCAAAATTAGACAAATGTTGTGATAACATAGTTTTTCCAAAGCTTTCCTCACAAGAAAGGTGAGATTAAAGCTGAACTTGGCACGTGATTCTCTGACCAAAGACTTGCACATAAGGTACAGAGCTGCATGCCGTAATCCATCCCTGCAGTTGTCGTTCTTCTTTCTCTCTTGATTTTCGATGATTTTAGATTTGGTTTTACTGTACTGCCTACCTTTAAACAAAAAACCTGCAGTTAGTAATTTACATCCAATAAGCGATGTGATCTGTAACTTCTTGGAGAATCTAAATCATGAGATGAGTAATACCTCACTCAGACATGAGTATAAACTTTTAATTATATAGTTGATACAGTTTTTATGATATAAAATATTGGAGAGTAAACAGTTCTGATTTTGTCCTGATAGGAATAACTATAGCTGAATGCAGACTCTGCCAAGCCTCATTAGGGAGAACTGTGGTAATTTTTTGCACACCACTTATATAGATTGTGATGTTGGCAGAACTCATTTTAGTTAGCATTTATTTCAGATCTTCTGTCCTGTATGCGTGAAAGAAATGAGGGGGAAATGAAAAAAGGCTTACCTTAAAATAAGACCAGAGAAAAATAAAAATTTAACAGAACTCACTTAAATGCCTTTTTAAAAAAAAAAAAATAATTCAGTGAAATATATTACTTTCTGATATTTGGGGGGTTATGTGAACTGTTTTAATGAACATGTGTATTTTGAGATAACAGTAAATAGAATCGTTTGCTGTGAATATGTTGAATTTTCTTTGTGTTTTACAGACAGGGATGAAGAGGAAATGAACAAACGGGAGGACAGAAGAGAGGGAAATAGGCATTGTAAAGAGAGGTCGTCTAAAGATAAAGTAATAAACACCTTTCTTAACAACTACTTATAACCTTGTTAAAGGTGTCCTAATTAGAGCTTTATTTTTATTATGAGACCTATTTGCACTCCTTGATTCCTTCAGCAATTCTGGACTTGAACATTAAGTGTATATAGGTTAGGCACCATGTGACAGATTTGGGCAAGGTGCTTACAGCCTAATTTCCTAACATTACAACCTAACATTTTAAAGTTCAGTGGATAAAAACTGTTGGAAAAACTTTCTTACGAGATGCTAATCTGTCTGAAAGATGTGAGGGCTAATGCTGTATTTGCACGCAAGAGGCAGCAGATGTGATTATCCATTATTTTCGACTACTGTATTCTTACATAAGAAAAGCAGAATCTTAGCTTGATTGATAAAGTGGCTTTTCAATTTTGAAGCTTGGAATCATTATGTCACATCTTCCTGCAGGAAACAGATGCTTTCCATGTCTTGAGGCCAATAGCTTGCTTTCACAGTTCATATTAAGGAACAGCATAAGTTCAATTTGTTATGCTTAAACTTTTTTATAAATGCAGGAATAAAACAAGTTTCTGATTATCCTTTTTTTTTTTTTTTTCCCTTCAAGGAAAAATAGGAGATGTAGGAATAGGAATAATGTGAAAACACAGACTGCAGAACTGCTGTAGCTGTGAGAGCCGGATGCTCCTTCATTACATGTTTAGGGAGACTTCACTTTGAAAACAGCTGTTGAGTAAAATACTTGATTGGGAGGAGAAGGAATATTTACTAGTTTAACTAGGTTAATTCTTCAGATTTTATTGGCATGATAGCATGAACAAAAGGAAAGTGTGTCTACCAGATGTTACTTTCTATTGTGCTGTGGTTCTTTTAAATATTTGAAAAATATTACTTAAGTAGCTTGCTTGTATTATATTTGAGCTCAGCAGGTAAATGCTAGTTATATTAATCATGTGTCTGAAAGTAACGATAAAATGAACAAAGGAAAACTTTGGTTAACTGAAAAGTTGACTTGTTTTTAGTAGATAATGGGAAAATGATATTTTAACTTCCCAATGATCCCATCATTCATTTTCTGTAGGAGAAAGACAAGACGCAGATGGTAACTGTTAACAGGGATCTTCTGATGGCTTTTGTGTATTTTGATCAAAGTCATTGTGGATATCTTTTGGAGAAGGACATGGAGGAGATACTGTACACTCTTGGACTACACCTGTCACGTGCTCAGGTTTTGTATAGTAATAGAAATCTCTTTGAAAATATTACAGGAATGCTGCACATGGGGAGAATATAGTTTAGCTTCTAAAGGCTGTTGCTTACATACTTTATCCCTGATTTTTATATAGCCACTTCCTATTTACAATTAAATATTAGTTTAATGTTTTGTAAATTGTCTTGGAATGAAAAGGTGAACTTTGCAGCTCTTAAAATGCCCCTATTTATATATATAGCTTTTATCTCAAGATTTTTTTTTTTTTAATAGCTTTTTTTCATTTTAAGCCCCGGTATGTTAAAGTTCAAAAAGCTGTGCAATTTTGCTCAGTTTTTGCTCAGTTTTCCAAGTTTAAATATTCTTGTTTAGGTAATTTAATGTCTGTGTATTAAATAACACCGTATTTCTTTCCATGGCTGTGTTTTAGGTCAAGAAGCTACTTAATAAAGTAGTGCTTAGAGAATCTTGCTTTTACAGAAGACTAACAGATACTTCCAAAGATGAAGAAAATCAAGAAGAGTCTGAAGAGCTACAGGAAGATATGTTAGGTGGGGGTTTTTTTGTTGTTTTTTTTTAATGACACAAACTTCCAGAGAATTGTTTGTGTGCAAATGCTAATGAGAGTTCTGAGATACTTGCTTTCTTGCAGAAACTAATTCAGGTCTACAGGGAACTTACCAGATTGGAAAAGTAAATTTTGGGCAGTTCATAAATTACAGTATTTCTGGCTTCCTACACATCTTGTTGCATCTCTAGGATAAATCTTAGTATCTTGCAACAGGACGGGGGACAGAGGTTAACATTGAGTATTGATGAACAGCACTTCTCATTCACAGCAGTTCTGCAGTCAGGAGGATCAGTGCTGTAGGTGGTAAAACAAAGCCTGATTTTTGAAGACAAATTGCTGCAGGAGGGAGGCATAGAGGAATGTCATTAAAGAGTGTGCTTCTTTTTGAGAGAGGTGGAATCAGGGTAAGGAGGGAGGAGAGAAAAGAGGGCTAGACCAGCAAACTTGAATTTATATTTATTCTTTTAAGAAGTTTTTGAGATGAGTCACTAGAACTGAAAAATGACTGAATTATCATTTCCTAATGCTACTTAATCTAATACAGGAAACAGATTACTGTTACCATCGCCTACTATAAAGCAAGAATCAAAAGCCATAGAAGAAAATGTCGGCCTCATTGTGTACAATGGAGCTATGGTGGATGTTGGGAGCCTTTTACAGAAGCTGGAGAAGAGTGAAAGAGTGCGGGCAGAGATAGAACAAAAGCTTCAGCTACTAGAAGAAAAAACAGGTGGGACATTATTTGAAGGTGATACTTGCATTGGATGCAAGATGCTAAGACTTTTTAAGTAGATGCACCAATTTGAGTAATATTTGTGATCTAAATTTCTTAGCTATTTGCTTACCATAAACTTCTGTTTCCTATTTCCCAAGCCCTTTGAATTTGCACACCAACTGTTGTTCAGTACCCTTGTCACCACACTGAAATGCTGTTGTCAGACTTGGAAATGACTGACTTTTTTTTTTTTTTTTTTCTCTCTAAGATGAGGATGAAAAGACCATACTGCAACTGGAGAATTCTAACAAAAGTCTATCTGCAGAGCTCAAAGAAGTGAAAAAGGACCTTAGCCAACTGCAAGAAAATTTGAAGATCTCGGATGATAAAAATTTGCAATTTGAGGGTCAGCTGAATAAGACAATCAAAAATTTAGCTACTGTTATGGATGAAATACAGAGTGTTCTTAAACAGGTTAGAATTGTTTAATTCCATTTTTTATTATTGTAATGCAAGCTTCCTGTAGACTAAATTATTAGGACAAAAACTTCAGAATAAAAAAGAATTTTCACGTTAATTCAGGTCAGTAGTATCTTAATATATATAAGGTGCTGAATGTGATATTGATAACATGTATTTTTTCTAAGCTTGAAACACATATTCTTGACTTAACTGTTTTTTAAAAATATATAAAAATTAATGTAAATATCAAACCATCTTAATGTTTTCCTGTCCTGATCTTGTCCATTCCCAGCAGTTCAAATCTGCTCTTCTCTTTGATCAGTTAGGAGTAATTTTTCAAGACAGAACTTAAGTATTTCAGTTTATTTTGGTAAAATGAGTTTTAAGTGAACCACGTCCAGTTGGAGGCTGGTCACAAGTGCTGTTCCCCAGGGCTCAGTTTTGGGGCCAGCTCTGTTTAACATCTTTATCAATGATCTGGACGAAGGGATTGAGTGCACCCTCAGTAAGTTCGCAGATGACACCAAGCTGGGTGGAAGTGTTGATGTGCTTGAGGGTAGGAAGGCTCTACAGAGGGACCTGGACAGGTTGGACCAATGGGCTGCGAGCAGCTGTATGAGGTTCAACAAGGCCAAGTGCTGGGTCCTGCACCTGGGTCACAACAACCCCATGTAACGCTACAGGCTTGGGGAAGGGTGGCTGGGAAGCTGCCTGGCAGAAAAGGATCACCTGAAAGGAGGTTGTAGTGAGGGTGTGTGTTTCTTCTCCCAAGTAACAAGTGACAGGACAAGAGGAAATGACCTCAAGTTGCACCAGGGGAGGTGCAGATTGGATGTCAGGAGAACTTTCTTCACTGAAAGGGTTCTTAGGCACTGAAATGGGCTACCTAGGGAAGTGGTTTAATCGCCATCCCTGGAGGTGTTAGATGAGGTGCTCAGAGATACAGTTTAGTAATGGACAGGTATGGTTGGACTCGATTATCTCAAAGGTCTTTTCCAACCAAATGATTCTATGATTCTATGTAATACTCCAGAACATTTCTGTCCCTGTACAGAAAGATACTTGTGTATTCCTGAGGAATGCTGTGGGGGTCCATTAAGTAAGGCTGAATAGAAGTAGGTTATGAAGGCTCCCGAGTGGCAAACTGCTGCTATGAGGGACCCTTGCTTCTACTTCTGTCCATTGAAAATACAATATAGCATCTGCAGAAGCTCTAAAAACAAAACCACACACACGCAAAACACTAGAAACTGACAAATGTGTTAAAGCAGTCCTGTGCTTCACTGCATGTTGTAGACCTGCTACTCCACCAGAACCGGCAGCTGAAGGCACTGCATTGCCCTCTTGCTGTACTCTTAGCTCAGTTAAATAGCCTTGCTCATTCTATGGGGTATTTTTCAGATGAAAATACCTTGTAAGCCTAGTGTTTTCAGACAGCTTTGACCAATATTATTGTCCTGATTTAATGGATTTTGCAAAAACTGTTTTCACTTGCTCTTTTTGAAGGGGGAAAAAACGCAAAACAACAACAAAAAGCCACACAAAAAACCCACAAAACACAACCAACAGGGAGAAAAGAAAGACGCAAAACCCCCAGACCTTTTGACTATAGAGTAAGGCTTCTGGGGATGTTTTTTATGCTTCTCTTCAGAAGTGCTTAGGTCACATTTAATTTCCCTCTATTTTTCAGGAAGATACTGGAAATATTAATTGGTTATAACTAAACTGAGTAAGATACCAGTTCACATAGTATTTAAAGTTAGCACCAAATAGTATCTTTTGTTTCATGCTGCTTTACAGTTCACATGAGAAATATAACTTCTAGAATTCATGTTATTCTCTCCCTCTTTTCTTTTGAAGGATATTGTGAAGAATGAAGATAAAGATCAGAAATCCAAAGAAAATGGAGCAAACGTATGATAAAACTGCTGCTGTTTAGAAGAATGGTGTTATATAATGTAATATAAATCATGATACCAGAATGTATGGGAAGTGATGCATGTTTGATTTTAGTAGTATAAATATCTTAGTTCCAAAAGATGTATAAAGTTTTATGAATGTGAGTGTCAGCTTCTGAAGATTGCTTGTAATTCTTAGCATTCAATTTAAGACACTCCTCAAGTGAAAATAATTTTGCATTGCAAAATGTTTTAGGATGAACTTTGTTATAGTTTTAACCCTAATAAAGTTCATCAACGTAATGAACAGTAGCAAGTATTTAATTACCAAATGTTTTTCATTAAAGTCTAGTGAAATCAAAATTTTCATTATTTATAGAATTGCCATTTTTAGGTTTTTATTTTTATTTCGTTCTAATTAGTCTTTTTAAATTCAAATATAAATCACAAAATAGCATGCTGCTTAATTTTGCAAGTAAAGATTTTTTTTTTAAAAAAAAAAGCTTCTTGGATTTTTTTTTTTTTACTTGTCACATCTTTCTTTTCCCTTCCAAATGTAACTTTTTTCCCCCAAATCTGCTTGTATTAAAGCCTCATAATATACAGTAGTTCAGATGAGTTAAGAAAGCAATAGAAACCTACCAAAATACTGGTAGGGTTGTGAGATTTATATGAAAATACATGGGCCTGTTTTAAATGTATGTAATTTGTGTTCCTTTAACTGTTCTTATCCTTGGATTAATATATATATGCTCCTTTTTAATAACAAATGCAATGTATTAAAATGTATGGTTGGATACCAGGCCAGTAGATGTCAGAACAATGCCTTACATGGATAAAAAGCTACCATTGTAAGCCACCTTTAATTAAATTTGGACTTCTTTCTTAATACGTGTAATTACTTTGAAGACTTTAGTCCAACAAAAGAATGGATACACAAGTGTCAATACTCCATGTTATAATTACTTACTAAGGAGCAGGACGCAACTTGGTTTGTTGAAAATGGGTGAGATTGCCATCCTCTGTGTTCCAGAATCACTAGAGATCTAAACTCGGAAGTTAACGTGACATCATTGTCAAAGGCAACTTATTAAAATAATGCAAAATATGAACAATTGTATTTTGGTGCAAATAGCAGGAAAATTAAGGGTTTTGAAGGTCGGGACAGAAGTGTTTTCTTACAGAAATGGTTAATTTTAGCAGACTTTCTTTTTTAGCCTAGATGTCCTAGGTAACTAAATATGAGTCCAAGTGCCATAATATGTATGAATAACCTACATGGAAACTCATGTAGCTTTACAGAGATACACATTAAAATGCCTGAATTTATGTTCAAAAGAGTCTAAGCTGGTGCATTTATCACTTACCTTTCTTGGCTCTTTTGGAGCTAGACAAGTAAAATATCTTTTCATTAAAATAGCATGCATAAACTTCCCCCTCATTAATCTCAGTTGAGTCACTGTATAATATCTGAACTTTTCACACTAAAGCAGGAAGTACTAGAAAAACACTAATTACTGCATATAAGTACACAGAAAATGCATGCTTTATGAATTAAGAGATAACATCTCAGAATGAATGAGGATGGTGATAAATTTCTTATGAAAAGTGTTATCTGTGGTGTACTGATGGTGTTAACAAATTCTTTTGTAATCAAATTATATTTTTCACCTTTACCTTTGTTGACAGCATGTTTCATTTTTGACGTTGAGCACCATTTATTTGAATAGACTTGAAAGGATCATGTTTGAAATACTTTGTTCATGAATTTCAGCAGTACATGTGAACATACAGGAAAATAATTCTGGAATTCAAGATAGCATCTTTTTAGGCACACTGAGACATCTGTTGAAATATTTTGCTGGGGTGTTTTTACCTTAAACTGCTGAGCTGAAAGCAGTTGCCACAACGAGCAGGCCTCATCTTATTTTTCAGTGAGTGGCCGTCTGATATAGTTGGTTCCGATTTTTACAGTATTTAAGAAGAAAGAGTATTAAAATGAATGTAATCTTCTCTATATTGCTTTGATGTAATAGTGTTTCTGATACTATGTACATTCTGCATTTATGTTGTAAAGAAAATTAAAAGGGTAAAGAATAAAGGCGGGGGGGGGAAGCAAGGAAATGTTTTACAGCCTATACAGAGCTTGGCCAGTCTCCTGAAGCACAGATAATCTGAGGAAGAACAGACACCTCTACATCCTGTTTAAGTTGCTTTACCAAACAGCACAAGGTTCTGTATGTACACAGCACCAGTGGTGGTCATTAGCTAAAGCTTCTTGGTAATATTCTGAGAAATGTAGCTAATTCTTAAGAAAATTGAATAGAGTATCAGTAATGGATGTCTGGAGAAGCAATCTTATGTCATTTTTGATTTATGAAGAATGTTTATAGATTTCATGTCCTGTCTGGGCTTTGCACTTCTAAGTCTTTCATTTCAGTTGCTGGCAGAAGGCGGTAAAAGTGAGCCTAAGCTCAGTCTTACTCTGATGCCTAAAAGTCCAATTTTTTTTGTAGTTTTAAAATCATCATAGATGCCCTATAGAAAGTAGTAAATATCAGACTTTGTTCTGTAGAGAAAGCACTGCTACAGCGGGTGAGTAAATGGAATCTGATGACAGTTTATAGATTATTTCCCTTCCCATTTGTATTTTGTCTAGTATGGGAGAATTACTGAGTTAAACCCTTACAAAGTGATATTCAGACTAGGGGATGCCTGTGAATAAGGCTAGGAAGAAAGTTCCAAGTGATACATCTGCACGCAAAATGGTCTAGAATAAAGTAGATTCTCTTGAGGCCCCTTTGCTTTTGCTCTGGTAATGAAAAGGCAGAAGTACATAGTTTCAGTGCTACGTAGCAACAGTGACAAATAGACCAATAGTGAATTTTTGCAAAAGTTTTCTGAAGTGTTGAGGATTGCATATGGAATAATGGAGCTGCTTCCAGCACCGCTGCATGTTCTACCATTATGAAGGCATGTAATGTTTTCTTGACTCACCCGGTGCTTGATGCTTGTGCCTGTGGCGCCTGGGCACTGCTGCAAAATCACTTCCCAGTTGTTGTTTGGTTCATCCAGTGTCCTCCGGCTCAGCCTGGGGCACCCTGAAGTGTTCAATGGGGAAGCTGGAATTCTCTGTCTGGTGATGTGGGTTTTCACAGATCCAGCATTTACAATTATGTTGTTTCAGAATCTAACATTATGAAGCCTAATTCTTTAACATAACATTTTTTCAATGTTTCACTGCTTTGAGAGAGATGAATGGCTTTCAGTCCATCTTTCTGGTGAGTAATGTACTATGTGAATATCTGTTTGGACTTTTGTAACACAGTTAACTTTCACTGATAATTTTATCAGGAATGTGCACAAAACATGTTTTTTCTCTTGCTTCTATAATGTTTGTGTACCTAGGTTCTTACCTTGAATGCATTTGTTCAGCACAGATTATATTTAAAAATATAAAATAGTTCATTTTGAGTGACTGAGTCTTATGGCCAGCAATAGATTGTGAAATGTGTAGGTAGCACAGTCAGTACACGTATGCTGGTATTTTCCAGAAAGCAGAAATGGTTCAAGTAGAAATTAAATTAAGACTTGTCTATTGCCATGTTGAGCAACAATAAAAATGGCATAAGTAATTGATACCTCTACTTGGCTATCAAACTGCCAGTGTTTTCCCACCAGACTTTTATATTTTTGCATACTGGGTCTCATTAGATGTATTGTACAAAAGCAGTTACAGTAAAAAGCATTGCTTTAAAGCAATTTTCCTTTTTTATTTATCTACTATATAATGCATAACTTCATGATACAAAGTCTAAATTTAGACTTTTGAAACACACCAAATATTGCCTGAAGTCATATATTTTGTAGTGTTTTAACTGTGGTTAGTAACATGGTTTCTGAATTTCCAGGTGTCTGATACCTGAATTTGTATTGAAAACATGTGACGCTGCAGTTGTATGCTGCTTTTGCTTTCTTGTATCCTGATGGTTTTTAAATTGTTGCTCTCTTTAACAAGTGGATTCTAGCTTGTTAGAGCATTCAGGTCAAGTACCCTACAGTATATTTAAGAACCAGTATCTTTTCAGGTGTGATTCAGTAATCCTGCAAGCTGTTCAATCTAGCCCAATATCAGTTCAGTTCTCTTTATTCTCTCTAAAATGACAGCAGAATAACGGTGCTGTTGCATGCTGCAATTTGATTATTTTTTTGGGGGGGGTGCAGGATTATGAGGTTAAACTGCAAGAGTTTTTCTCTAGTTCCTGCAGTGCTTCACTGCACTTGAATCATTTACAGAGCATGTTAAGGCACCAGTGCATGTTGAAATGCTTTGTTGATTGAACCATGTCCTTCTTTTCAGAGTAATAGTTTTCCTTTCCATACCTCCCCCAGGGTGAGGAAGGAGCTTGTGTAGCTAGATTTATTCTTGCTAGTAATTTGGTCTGCAGTGTCAAGGCATGTTTATGTGAACTTCCTATAGGGAAGCAGTCTCCCAGCATGGTGAGGTCTGACTATTTCATTTATTTGTGGGGGGCAAATTATGCCTCTCAAAATCTGTCCTCTCTCATGCTGTGGGATCTTCCACCTTAGCAGTTACTTGAGTGTTGTAGTGATCTTTTGGAACAAGTAGGTAATGATAGTCCTGTGAGGGGGCTCTGAATATTCAGAGAAAGTACTTGAGCTGGATTTCAGCCAAGACAAGATTCCCAAAGCCTCATGTTTTGATGGGAAATTGATTCCTATATTATTTTTCTTCAGTCTAGTGAGGGGCACAAGTGACAGGATCCTGTTGACTGAATCATTGTTCACATTTCATTGTGAACAAACAGCTGGGTAGAGGGGAAAGGTGGAGAGGAAGAACACTGCAGAGAATCCCAGCCTGAACTCTTCCCCGCTCTGCTTTTCAGCAAATATTTTTAGAGTACTAATTTGCTATATATTATTTGCTTGCAACTTTTTTAGTGGTATATAGAAGGGGGATTTGTTTGAGTGTGAGTTGTTTTGATTTTTTTTCCCCTGTATTGCTTAATTCTTTTTGGTCTTCCTGACACGGGGTCATCCAGTTACATTCCTGTTTTGTCATACAAGGGGCAGAAACAGCTGGAGAACAGCAGCCTTCATTTTTGGTCCCTTTTTAGCAGGGCTGGATGGTAGCCAGTAGATCTGCATATAAAAAAGCAGAAATAGCTGCCACACTGAAATGAACAGTTGGAGATAAAAGTACCTTGCAACGCTGGTCTGAAAAAACACTTGTCTCGCAGACTAACCTGATTTACTGTAAAACAGTCCACATGTGCAGAGGC